GCTCCTGTACCTTTTTCAATCTGGAGATCAGGAATTCATCCTGGTATCGATTATATTAAATTAAATTGAATTGAATTAAATGGAATTAAATTTAATTAAATTGAATTCAATGGAACATTTCCAGCTCCTGCACCTTTATCAACCTGGAAATCAGGAATCCACCCTGGTATCAATTATATTAAATAAAATTAAATTGAAATAAATGGAACTGCACACCTTTATTAATCTGGAGATCAGGAACCCCCCCCGATAGCAGTTGTATAAAATAGAATTAAATGGAATTAAATTGAATTACTCCATACCTTTATCAACCTGGAGATGAGGAAGCCGCCCTGGTAGTGGTTGTATAAAATTAAATTAAATTTAATTTAATTTAATTAATACCTTTATTAATCTGGAGATGAGGAAGCCGCCCTGGTAGCGGTTGTATAAAACTGAATTAAATTAAATTTAATTAAATTAATTGAACCAATACCTTTATCAACCTGGAGATGAGGAAGCCACCCTGGTAGCGGTTGTATTAAATGGAATTCAATGGAATTAAATGGAATTCAGTGGAGCCCCCATACCTTTATCAACCTGGAAATCAGGAATCCACCCTGGTATCGATTGTATTAAATGGAATTAATTTGAATTAAATGGAATTATTCCATACCTTTATCAACCTGGAGATGAGGAAGCCACCCTGGTAGCAGTTGTATAAAATTAAATTAAATCTAATTAAATTGAATTAATACCTTTATTAATCTGGAGATGAGGAAGCCGCCCTGGTAGCAATTGTATAAAATTGAATGGAATTCAGTGGAATTCAGTGGAATTAAATTTAATTACTCCATACCTTTATCAACCTGGAGATGAGGAAGCCGCTCTGGTGGCGGTAGTAAAAAATGGAATTAAATTAAATTAAATGGAATTAAATGGAATTCCATACCTTTATCAACCTGAAGACGAGGAAGCCGCCCTGGTGGCGGTTGTATAAAATTGAATTAAATTTAATTTATTGAACTAATACCTTTATTAATCTGGAGATGAGGAAGCCGCCCTGGTGGCGATGGTATAAAATTGAATTAAATTAAATTAAATTAAATTAATTGCAGTAATACCTTTATTAATCTGGAGATGAGGAAGCCGCCCTGGTAGCGATGGTATAAAATTGAATTAAATAAAATTAAATTAAATTAATTGCAGTAATACCTTTATTAATCTGGAGATGAGGAAGCCGCCCTGGTNAATTAAATTAAATTAATTGCAGTAATACCTTTATTAATCTGGAGATGAGGAAGCCGCCCTGGTAGCGATGGTATAAAATTGAATTAAATTAAATTAATTGCACTAATACCTTTATTAATCTGGAGATGAGGAAGCCACCCTGGTAGCGATGATATAAAATTAAATTAAATTAAATTAAATTAAATTAATTGCAGTAATACCTTTATTAATCTGGAGATGAGGAAGCCGCCCTGGTAGCGGTTGTAGAGCTCCTCCCAGTTGTCCCGCAGGAATTTCCAGGCCGCTTTCCTGCCCTGCCTGCTGCCCCCAGCCACGCCCCCGATCACCGACACCGTGTCCTGGGGCCGCACCTCCTCCTGGAGAACCAAAAATTCCACTTTTCCCAACAATTCCACAGCCCTGCCATCAGGGGTTAGCTGTTCCTACATGCAATCCGTCAATTAAAGCTGATTTTTTTGTCCAGAAATTGAATGTATAACTCAAAGGTTGAAGGAGAAGCAAATCTCTCAGGTTTTTGTTACTCTGGAAGAAATTGCTTTAATTTTTTGTTGCTCTGGAACCAAGTCTCCCAGGGTTTTCTTAACTTGGAACCAGTTCACTCAGATTTTTCTGATTTTGGACCCAACTCAGCCAAATTCTTC